TCCAGATGGAGGCTGATCCATTGCCGCCTCTTCTCTTTCTGCCACTTTCCAGCTGCCAGAGGGCACCCAAACGAGATGGTTAGTAGCTAAAGTAGCTCTCCTTAGATGTAGAACCAGCCTCAGGACTTGTCCTAAGCCCTGACTCTGAACAAAGCACTGATGTCTCTGTGTGCTCCTTGAGCTGAATGTAGAGTCCAACACATTGTCAAGATTGTATCGCTTTTACTTTAGGGAGATTTTAAGAAGCTCCTTCTCTACCTGTGCTTCTTTCATAACACCCTAGTTAGGTGCTTCTAGTATTTGTTTAAATGCTATGCAGTAGTATTTGTGTGTGTGTGTGTGTGTGTGTGCGCGTGCGTGCATGTACAGTCCTGGGGCTTGAACTAGGGCCCGTCTCTGAGCTTTTTGACTGAAGACTAGTGTTCTACTACTTAAACCACAGTTACATTTATGGCTTTTTGTTAGTCAATTGGAGATAAGAGTCTCATGGACTTTCCAGGCCAGTCTGGCTTCGAAGTCAGAGCTCAGCTTCCTGAGTAGCTAGGATTATAGGTATGAGCCACTGGTGCCTAGCTTTTTCAGTAGTATTTTAATTTTGTTTGCTTGTTTTGGGAGGGTTGCTGGGGACTGAATATAGGGTCTTGCCCTTGCCAGACAAGCAGTCTTCCACTGAGCTGAATCCCCAACCTTGTAGTATTTTCAATTTTGATATTTACTAATAGTTCACTTTTGTTTGTTGCTTTGTGGGGTTTTTGCCTTTGTTTTTGTTTTCTGTTCAGCATGGGACTTGAACTCAGGGCCTGGGCACTGTCTGTAGGCTCTTTTTGCTCAAGGCTAGCACTCTACCACTTGGAGCCACAGTCCCACTTCCAGTTCTTTTTTTTTTTTTTTTTGGTCAGTTGTGGGGCCTGAACTCTGGGCCTGGGCGCTGTCCCTCAGCTCTTCAGCTCAAGGCTAGCGCTCTACCACTTGAGCCACAGCGCCACTTCCATCTTTTTCTGCTTATGTGGTGCTGAGGAATCGAACCCAGGGCCTCATGCATGCAAGGTGAGCCCTCTACTGCTGAGCCACCTTCCCAGCCCCCACTTCCAGTTCTTGGGTGATTAATTTGAGATAAGAGTCTCTGTCCAGGCTGGCTTTGAACCATGATCCTCAGATCTCAGCCTCCTGAGTAGCTAGGATTACAGGTGTGAGCCACCAGTGCCTGACCTGTTGCTTTGTTTTTTTTTGTGCTGGGGATTGCCCACAGGCTTTGGCATTCTGGGCAAGAGTTCTATCTGAGATACACCCCAGCCTTTTGTTCGTTTGTTTTGGTACTTACAGTTTTGGTTACTGAACATTAGGTGACTACCAGAGTCCAGAACTCTATTTTCTAGCATCACCAATGCATATGAAATTCAGCAGGGATGAATACTGGTAATAGGCTACACATTTGAATAATGCTATATATAAAACTAATAAAACCTAATTACCTGTTGGTAGGTCTTCTTTGCCAAGATAACAGTCTATGTTGACCTATATTTTATAAGTTAAGGAAACACCTTAACCAAAGGCACATCAGCATTTCTAGGAATCCATGGAACAACAGATCACTTAATAGATTCCTGCATTTACACATTACACAAGTGGTTTCACTCAACATTAGAATCAATTGGGGAAATTAAACCAAGGGAAGGACTGTCAAACACATGTGTGTACACACATATACACAAATACATTTACTCATGC